GAACGGTTTATCCTAGGGTGGCTTTCTAAGATTGGTGTTTTTACACCACGTTCTTGCCCAGTTTTAAATTGACCTTAAAACATAAATATGCATTGTCACATATGTAAAAATCTCTTAGGCCATCTCGAACGTTTCTGTTTTAACGTACCACTACATGAATTGACCAAGGTTTGGAAAATTTATCATAAACATTCAGGCGTTCATTTCTCTATAATCGAGTCACTTCATTGATCATGATTACTCACAACCTTGAACTTGACCCTACGACCTGATTAACATCCCGCTCGAAAACGTTTTAAGATTAAAACCTAATTAAATTTAATTACACGGTCATATTAAAATTTCGATATTTGAGCTAGACTTTCACTCCATGATCAATTTTTCAGAATCTTCAATTAATTCCTTTAGTGTCGGCTCAGTTAAAGACGAATTAAGTAAAGCATATGCTTCATTTTAATATTGACATTCGGTTAACTATTGCTAAGTGAAAATTGTCAGACCCTATGTACTTGAAATAAATCTTATCTCAGTACACCATGGATGAGCATAGTGTCAAAGGATAATCGCCCCAAATTTTATGATTTTTTCATCATTCGACACCCTTGATCCTTAATTGCCCACCCCTTTATCATTTTGTAATAAGAAATTAACCGAGACCCGGGGTTGTAGGATGTCGATGATTACTCATAAAAGTTCTCTTCGGTAACAAAGCAAAGGTCAAATAAAATTGCGGAAAAATAAAAATAAATAGAAAAAACTCAATTGTTTCTTATCGCTTCGTGATACACGAACATAACGTGATACAGTTTTAGTTTTCCCTTCCGTCGGACATAAAAATCTCGACACGCGAGCAGCCATGCTGCCCAAGTAAAAAACAGTTAAACCTTTTTAACGGCAGTACTTAACGTCTATATTTAACACGTGTCATAAAAGAGTAATGTATTCGATTGACTGCGTTTTGTTATCTGGGTCAGCCTGGTATCGGACTTTTTGTCACGTTTCTTTTCGGGTTTTTTCATAAATCGGTAATGTAGGGTTTCATGTTTTCCCCTGATTTAATTTCGGTACCAATTTGTCTTTTTGTATTATCTGGTTGGTTAATGTGTGTTTTCTTTATTTAGGGAACTGCTTTGGGATTTAAAGGGCTGTTTGATCATCCATGATCCGCCCATCCTGGCTTTTAATCTTCCGACCTGCGCCTTTTTCCCCTTTATTCAGTATCCGCGTTGATATTTTTTACAGGAAAAAAAAATAGTTATTAATCTTGCAATTTGTGTTTATTGTTTAATTAAGGTCGGTATTACAAAATATAAAAAGTTAAAAAAAGGTCAAACGTAGAAATCTTTCCACTATTTTAGGGGGAAAAAAGGTCCTACATTCTTTAAAGAAATCTCACTATAGCATCATTATTTCAATTTGTCCAATCATAAACCGACCCATAATCGCAATTTTTGTCCCATTTACAGTGTTCCGGAGAAACTGGCAATCCTCACAATCTGAAAATTAAAATAAGCCGGGATTTTTTCCCGGATAATCAACGCGAAATGCGAGCCTACGGTTCATTTTTAAGCATAATGGTTTGCCGGTGTTGAACGGGTCGGAGTGTTGAGTGCTGATAGCCGCCCCTGGGGGGCCCTGCTCAGTTGCGGACCGAATCATGTGGAGGAAGGTTCGGCAAAAGCTGCTCAGGGTATGTCCCAGAGAGAATCATTTAGCCATTTCTGTCATAAAAATCAAAAAATAAAAGCATGCTTGGCTGATCCGTGGGAAAATGTGGTATTCTTTGAAACCATTACTTCATGATTCATCACAATACCCCGACATAATGCAAGTGTCACGACAATTTATCACATTTTCAATACTAAAGTGACTAAATTGCTCACCTGCCATTTTCTTGGTACAATTACTAAGATAAATTAAAAATTCAACCCTTCCTACTTTTGACACAATTTTTTTTTCAAAGGATTCATAATCAGCATATTTCACACCAATTTCGCTTTTAAAACTCATATTTTCCCTATCTGCTATGTTGGGTACTTCATTAGAAACATAGTTTTTATACTAATCCATTGTATATTAAATGCTATGTCGAAATCACAGGTAGCGTAGTTTTCTCAGGTTATGCTTAATAGTAAATAGAATTAAATTCACTAATTTCGTGGTCCGCTTGACCAATTAATATCATACAATTAATTAAGGTTTTTAGTTGAGATAAAAAAGTCAATGGCACCAGCGGGATTCGAACCCACGATCTTCGGCTACATACGCCGCTTCTCTACCACTTGAGTTATCGTGACCTCGATCCACTCGGACACTAGCTTTCCATCTCAACCCCACCTAAATTACCCAAAATTCAAAAGGTGAGGTTGAGATGAGAAGTTAGTGTCCGAGTGGATCGAGGCCACGATAGCTCAAGTGGTAGAGCAGCGGCGTATCTAGCCGAAGATCGTGGGTTCGAATCCCGCTCATGACACTGACTTTTTTATCTCAACTAAAAACCTTAATTAATTGTAGTAAATAGAATATTGTCAAAGTATGCAGGTGTTATTCAACTCTTAAGTTTTTATAATGATGTAGTGTACAGTTATGTCTTGTAGGAGGTAGGTTTTCCAAAGTTGAGGCTAACTATAAACCCAAAGGTCCTTTTTTTTATTAAATCGGTAGCATAATTTTGACGTATTATGGCCATTGGTATTGGTACACAGATTTTGTTTTTCATATATGCAGCTAACTTCGTAAGAAACTTAGATTTTCATAATGACTTAATACTCAATGTTATGTTTTTATATGCTGCAGGCTTCATCAGAAGCTTAAATTTTTATACTGACGAAACAATCAGTTTCATGCTGAAAACCTTTGGAGCATAGTTTTTCGTACGTTACACTATTAACCGAACTTTATCTCTGTATTTATGAAACCAGAAATTTTTCTGTTCCTGAGGTCATAGAAATCATAGTCACTCAAAATCTATGGTGAAAGCATTGGAAGCATTTTTTTGACATGTTGTACCTATTTCTTTACCGAATATTTTCTAAATATGCTGCCGACTTCATAAGAAACTTAGATCTTTATAATGACTTAATAATCAATTTTATGCTTTTATATGCTGCAACCTTAATCAGAAGCTTAAATTTTTATACTGATTTAACAATCAATTTCATGCTGAAAACCTTTGGAGCATGTTTTTTCATAGGTTACACTATTACCTAAACTTTTTCTCTGTATTTATTAAACCAGATATTTTTCTGTTGCTGATGTCATAGAAAAGTGTGAATCATAGTCACTCAAAATCTATGGTGAAAGCCTTGGAAGCATTTTTTTGTCATGTTGTCCCCATTTCTTTACCGAATATTTTATAAATATGGTGCAGACTTCATAAGAAGCTTAGATTTATATAATGACTTAATAATCAATTTTATGCTTTTATATGCTGCAAGCTTCATCAGAAGCTTAAATTTTTATACGACTTAACAATCAATTTCATGCTGAAAACCTTTGGAGCATGTTTTTTCATAGGTTACACTATTACCTAAACTTTTTCTCCGTATTTATTAAACCAGATTTTTTTCTGTTGCTGATGTCATAGAAAAGTGTGAATCATAGTCACTCAAAATCTATGGTGAAAGCCTTGGAAGCATTTTTTGTCATGTACCCATTTCTTTATATATATATTTTTTTTGCATATTTTCTAAACATGCTGCAGACTTCTTAAGAAACTTAGATATTTTAAGGACTTAATAATCAATTTTATGCTTTTATATGCTGTAAACTTCATCAGAAGCTAAGATTTTTATACCGATTTACAATCAATTTCATACTGAAAACTTTGGAGCAGAGTTTTTCATAGGTTACACTATTTACCGAATATTTTCTAAATTTGCTGCAGACTTCACTAGAAACTTAGATTTTTATGAACTAATCTTTATGCCATATTGGAAGCCTTGGGAACATAATTTTCTATAAGTCAGACTAGCTATTAACTCATCGATTTTCCCTGTCTTTATTAAAGTAGATATGTTCCTTACATATTACAGTTTTCTTTTCTTTTTTTTTTTCTAAAAATCTTACTAAAAGCATTGGAGACATAAGTTTTCCATGCTGCGGACTTTATCAGTAACCTACATTTTTATAGACTTAACCTTATGCACTTTAAGCTAAGCTTATGCACTAAGCTTTCCTCCAAAAACCAAAAAATTTAGGAGCATATTCTCATGCCTGTTATAATTCAGAACATTTACCATTTAGGTTTTCTTCAGTAGAAACATAGATTAAAGTAAAGGCATAGTGCATCTTATGTCATGCTAAAAGCATTGAAAGCAAAGTTTTCTTATATTAAAACCTATACTTGATTGAATATTTTCCAAATAATCTGCAGATTTCATCAGAACCTTGGATTTTTATGGCTCTTATGTTGAGAGTATTTAGAGCATAGTATTCCACGGGTTTTACTTACCCAGATATTTCCCTTCTATGTTGCATAATATAAATCTTTCCAACAAAAACCCTTGTTGAAAGGATTGGTAGCGTTTCATGCTTGTTATCATCCCGAATATTTTAGGCTGCAGACTTCAGTAGAAATATTGGTTAATAAAAAAGCATAGTGCATGTTCTATGTCACGCCAAAGGCATTGAGAGCATGGTTTTTCTCACGTTCCGATTACTGGAGCCTTCATCAGTTCTAGATTTTTATAATGACTTGTCTTCACTGTCATATTATAACATTTAGAGCTTTTTTTCTATAGATTACAATAACTATTAAACTAAATATTATAAGAATCAAAGTGTTATACCAAATTTAGAAATTATGCTTCATTGGTTAAAAATAATCTTATGACTTAATCTTCAACATGGTTGTAAATAAAACAACTTCGCAGTCAGAAATTAACTGTTTTATCTTGGCCTGGGCTTTTACTGTGTAATTAACCTTTCTAAGATCTCCCTCATATTCTCTTCGTCCGATTTTTCCGATTTTCACTAACGTTTGGTATTTTCTGTTTCAGACCGGAGGCGTGGAGATGACGTGGGTCATAAACGACCACGTCGCGGCCGCCCCCGGCCAGCTGTCCGTCACGAAAGGGCAACAGGTGAGAAAAATCCTTAATCTGATAATTACTCTGGTCTTTTGATCAGTTCCATCACAGACAGTTGATCTTGTTAAAAGAATTTTCTAGTTTGTAAGATTGTATTTAATATTGACTTTGTTTTCTAGGTGGAGGTTGTTGAAAATGTAAGTTCGAACCCCGAATGGTGCCTCGTCAGGATGCCCAGCTCGGGACTCGATCCTCCACCTGAGGGCCTCGTACCACTTTCGGTTCTGAAGCAGCCGCCAGCCGCCGCACAGTCCTCAGCCCCTAGAATCCACGAGCTCGGTAAGTGCCAAAATCCAAGTTTCGAAAATGACTGGCAATTGTCCAAATCGTGGGAGTCGATTTCTGTTCTTAATTGGACAAACATAAACAAGCTCGTCTTTTCCTCTTCGTGGACGGAATTGTTCAAAAAAAGCCCGGGGAAATCCTATCGGTTCGCGGGAATTAATTAGAAATAAGAGGTAAAGTTAGAAAGAGTGGATGATCTCCAATTGAAGTAGGTGAAGAAGGGTTTTGGGTCGATATCTCTCTTTCCGCGAGGGTGGGACACTTGTTGAACAACCCCACTCTATCCGAAATACTTTTTTTTATACTAAACATAGAATATTTTTCTATGAAGCATTGTTTATGTAAGAGGAACGTGCTTTTTATAATGTGAAAGTTTTCCGGAACCGGTCTAGCCTTTAAGGGTTCTCTTAAATAGCCTCTTCTCGACAACTTAGCTTTTTGGCGTCTAAGCTGAACAAAGCCTTTAATTTTTCCCGCTTCCTCTTCAAACAGTGAACTTTATTCCCCCGGGTGAAGTTGTTTTTTGAGCTTTATTAAAATTGATTGTCTAGCGGCAGGGTGTTCGTACCGTAAGTTACTACCTTCGAAACTACGTTTTACTATTTTCTTATCTATTTTAGTATATATTGAATGGTTAGCCCACATTCACAAAGACCAATCAGACAAAAGACTTTTTTTCCCAACTTTCCTATCATTTTCCAGTAACTTACCTCACGGTTTTCATGCCTAGCAGTACTCCAGTTCGTGCCTTTCAGAGATTGTATCATCACTGACAATCTCCGCAGCAAACCACAGGTCATCATTGAATATGTTCCAAAGAGCGCTGACCACACTGTTGAACTGGATTATGCTGTACACCGTCCAGACCAGTCATACCGTTCTCATAATCTACATATCTATCGAACATCTCAAGTTCACTAACCATGATTTTAAGCTTTATGCACTTGAGGCTTGATATTAACTGCTGGATGAGTTAACTACCTAAGGTGACGTGATCTAATATACAGCTAATTACTTGCTCTGCCTACATTGGGTACGCTAGCAAGGCAGTGTATCTGCTATAAATATAGTGTTTTCTGCTTCAGCTTGAGACTACCGTGTACGCAGGTCAGAAGTAAAGAAGTGGTTTAAGTACTCCTCGCGGAACCAGCCTAATCACCCAAAGATCTTTTCCCTGCTGTGACCCGTATAGGTCTAGTGGAAACCCTTATACCCATGCTAGTGCCGATATCTCGTGATCTTACATTCGCAAAGAATATGTGTCGATATTTCTAGTTTTCTTTTTACACGAGTCGGCAAGTTCTTTGGCCATCATCTGGTGGTAGTTAAGAGGGTAATGATCGGTCTGGAGGATTTTTTTTCCCATCCACCTCCCCGCTGTACCTAAGGGAGACCCCATACCGGCGGACCACGCCCACTAAACTAATTCAAATGGGATGCAAGTTTAGGGGATCTTATTGTGCTTAACGTCTTCCTTCCCTTGCCCTGAAAGGGAAGACGCAAGGAAGAAGGAAAAAAAAATTTTATTATTAATTTACCTAATCTAATAGGTCTCCCCTTGCTGGTTAATCCTTTTGAATACACTTTCTAATAAATACAATATTTTAATAAATAAATAACAATTATGGGTACAGGAGTAACCAGCCCGGAATTAAAAGTTCAGGGAAACGCTAAGATCTAACAAGTAACATCATAGGAAGAAAAAGAAGAAAAAAGAAAGAAAGAAAAATTAATCAGGTACTTTATCCACTATATAGCTCGGCTAACAGGCTTGAGGACCTCAAACGTCCTCTTTTCTTTAACCAGTTCGTTGAGGGTCGGTGGCCAAGTGTGGCGGAAGAGGAGCTTTAGTGGTTCCCCCACACTCTCAAGGAGGGGGCAGTTGAACAGTCTGTGTTGGTCAACAACTCCGCAGTCGGGACACAGTGGACTGTTAGCTCTACGGAATCGGCACAAGTAAGCGTTGAAATTTCCGTGACACGTCATTATTTGTGTGATCCAGTAATCTGGTTGAAACCACTTTGCTTTTGTCCTCAATACTGGGTAGAAACTCGTGGGTCTGGAGGACAATAATTTTCCTCAAATATTGCTTGTTGAGAGGGTAGGGTACCTTCATTTTCCAAAGATTTAAAGCTCTGCTAGGTTAACTCATATCTGGTGCGAAGGATTTTTTCCTTCTCAAGTCATTTTCTACAACAGCGTATCTCCTCCACGCCTATTTGTTGTTCCTTGCACCTGGGTAGTTGGTGAGCCTGTTTTCTTCTATACTTTCATGTCCTGGAGCCCTTGTGTTTTCCTATGGCCTTTAAGAAATTTTGGCATTCCCAGACCAGTTCGGAGCTAAAATCATACTCATCGTATTTATACTGACCGTCCCAATGTAAATCCGTGCATTTCTCATATTCTCCTTTATCAACTCTATACACGAAGTTCTTGCTTCGACCTCGGCTTGGAATATAGCTGGAACTAGTCCAACCCCTACAGCAACTTCTTGTTCCCTGATTCATTATGAAGTACTGCTAAGATAAGTCACAGTGGAGCTTAAAATCCGTATCAAAAGACTGAGAAACATCTAGGAATACACGTAGCTGGCTCGTCCTGGTAAAAAAGCCTTGCGATTGTGTTCTACTTTGTGATAGTCTCAGCTTGAAAACATTCTTGCTTCTTCCTTCGACCCTTGGCGAACAATCCGGTGCAATAACAAACATTGAACTTCAGATTAAAAACGACGACCGTAAAAAAATGTTAACATACAGTCTTGTTGACGTATTTGATAAAATCCCAGCCTTATTAGGTGAATAAGACCACAAGGACGTCATAAAACTATATGTAGTCTACTTTCTCAATATGCTTATTAAAATTTTCGAAACTGATAAACGACACGTACTCAGGAACATAAACGGCCAATCCTTTGGATGATCAAATTATAAGCTGTTGAATCATTACTCGAATATTTTAATGAATCATGAAGAAGTAAAGTTAATATTTAAACGCCTTCGCGTATCTTTAACCTCAGTTATTATTGACGAATTCGGACTCAGGTAGCCTCAAGGAATTTCTCACTGATTACAAGTTCCAAGGCAGCCAGGGTGTCTATTTTTACGGTTATAAATGATTTACATCATACCCAGGAATAATTGATACGTCATTACTAGACTGAATTTTGTTCTAGTATAAATAATCTAGATCTATGATTTTTTCTACAAGAGTTCCGATGTACAAAGAAATCATTTTTTTCGGTTTAGTAACATTCAGACATTGAAAAATGTAAAATTGATGTTTCCACTACGGAATGTACAAGCTTACGGATTCCAGCCTTAACTGCGTGAGATAAAATTGCGCTTAGTGCATTTCGAAATGAATTGCTCATTATAAAAGGATTTTTTTGTTCTTTCATAATGCAAAAGGTATTTTATTAATTTTAACATTGCTGAGAATTTCCGAGCTGTTATCATTATTTGGACTAAGCTCGGGAAAAAATAGGCATCCAATTGAGTCAGAATCTTTTAAAAATCGTTATTCGTTTATTTATTGTTCTCTCAGAAATCGAAAAAAGCATGAGCATGGCTCTGTTTTTGGCAGTTGACACAGTTCGGAAGCACAAACACTCTATATTTAAACTGTCCAGATTCCGATGCTTTGAAATTCGCTATATCGGGTCGGCCGGCCTACTCGGCTTTATAAACGGACGTTTTGGACGGCAATCCTGGTATATTCAAAGAAAAGATGCAATCACTGATTATTTCGAGGATTTACGCTGAACCCAGACGCTAAGTCTAATATGGAAGTCGTGGGCTTCATGAAGTTAGACTAATGCTCGATGACTCAAAATCTGGGATATTATTATTATTATTATTATTATTATTATTATTATTGATTTTTAAGGGCGTTTTAACGGCTAAGGTCATTTCACGCCTTAATATTTACAAACTTTCTATCTTAGGTGAGCTTATGAGCTTAACTTCTGACTCCAAACATTCATTCATAAACTAATCTAACCTATTGCCATCCAAAGCTTTAATCTGACCTTTTAAAATACTTAATTTGAAATGCCAAATGTATCCAAACAACCCATTTTAAATTATGAAATTTATTCCTGTTCTTCAATTAGAATTTTGAATTTTTGTTCCATAATTGACTAATCATAGATTTTCTGATGAAAAATAAATTGGGGGACAAATTTTAGAAATCATGGCGATTGAACATTGCGCCAGAATAAAAGGCTAGGAATACATTCCCGGAAGATAGCCATCTTCTCCGACAATCAGGCAGGACTAGACCTTGCCTCATGCGAGGTGAAGGCAAAAAGTGTTGGGAACTGCATAAAGGCTCTGAAGGGAGTCAGCCTTGGAGGGGTTCATGGCCGGGGATTTCTTAGGTTAGCTTTAAGCTTCTTCGGCTTGGGCTTAGCTGGGGACTTTGGCTTTCTTGGGTGTGGTCGCAGTCTACTTCGCCGCGGTTCTTTTTGGAAGGACCGGCTGTTTTGGTGGTCTTGCCGCAGGTTTCTTCACCGGCTTGTCCTTGCTGGGAAACTTGAACTACCCGTTGGCACCGGTGCCCTTGGTTTGGACAAGGTGTCTCGAAGCGACGGCTCTCTTCAGGTATGATGGCCAAGCAGCCATCTTCTCTGATAGTCAGGCAGCAGTAAAGGCCCGAGCCTCATGCGAGGTGAAGGCAAAGAGTATTTGGAACTGCATGAAGGCCCTGACGGAAGTCAGTGACACTAATGACCCTTGGCACTCGGGGCATAGAAGCATCGAAAAGGTTGACATGTAGGCCAAAGTGTGAGCCAACATGGACACTATTGGCCCAGGACCCTACTGCGGCCTAGCAGCCTGCCATAAAAGAGGATACATCTTAAAATGGATCCTTAATTAGCCAAAAACCTGATGGAACAATATCACAGGTATGAGGCACGTGATTCATAGAAGGTCCATCCGCAAAACTTACAAAATAATTACTGGAAGGGAACCGCAACCGAACCAGGATTCTGG